TTTGCCCTTCCCAGTGCTGCAGCCCCATGAAATATTTAGGCTTCTGGACGGTGCTCAGCCCTTATTGTCCCCCTCAGGAAGTCCACTGCCCCCACATCATTTACGGCCGCCCCCCTCTTCCTCCTAGATGCACTGGAGGAGGGTCTGTCCCTACACTGTGGGCAGGGGGCAGGGTCCAAGCTTGACCTCCCACACAATACTCCTCCCACAGGCAAGGTCATTCTTGCTCTAAAGAAAGGGAAAGCAGAATAAGGAGGGGGGTTGGAAGGTAGGTGCCTACCGGCTCCTGAAGAGCTCCAGGAAAATGAAAGGAATCTGGGAGTGATCAAAGCTGCCTTTTATTTAGCACTTACTATTTATTGTGCTAAGCAGTGTATATGCAGTATCACCTTAAATCCACACTACAAATGTAGGATTTATTCTCCCCGTTTCATAGAGAAACTCACGCTCAGAGAGGGTTAAGTCAGTAGCCGAGACAGTCCAGTGCCAGAGGCCAAGTTCCACACACTGTGTCCTCTGCAACAAACTCCTTAGAGGTGACAAGGCTTAGTTAGGGGTGGGAATAGAGGGTGTGTGTGTGTGTGTGTGTGTGTGTGTGTGTGTGTGTGTGTGTGTGTGAAGGGAGTCATGCCAGGGCAGCACCGGCCCCAGTCCCTCTTATTCCCCCAAGATGAGGCTGCTTTCAATACAATCCTCTCCCCTGCTCCTCCTCCACTCCAAAGCAGATCGGCCCCAGCCACAACTCCTAAATACTTCACTTGTGTATTAGACAAACATTATTGGCCAGAGACTGGGAGACCCTGAGGGAGGGGGAAAAGGAAGGTGAGGAAATATGGAGAGCAGCAGAGAGAGTGAGACAGAGAGACTAGGGGCAGAGCTGAAAGCAGGGGAGTGTTAGGGAGCGCTAGTGACAGTTGGAGTGACCCACAGCCTGGACAGTTATAGCTCAGCCCATCCACGGGATGGTGAGAGAATAGAGGGAAGGTGATAGATAGAACTCCCACTCCCCACCCCCACCCAGCTGTCTCTCCCCACCCATGCCCCCCTCACACCCCAGTGTCTTCCCCTCCCCCACTGTCCTCTCCAGAACAATTCTAATTAGACTAAGTGACTAAGAGGCAGTTTTAGCCTGCACAGCCAATTAGGCCGGGAAGAAGAGAAAGTAGCTTCCCCAAGTCTCCCACCCCCTCATCTGCCTTTTACCTAAAGTATCATAGCCCAAAACTCAAGTTCCCCTGATCCTGCTCCTCCCTCACTGCCCACTGTGTCCCCATTACCTGTGTCCAGACAGCCCCCAGCCCACAGTTCAGTTCCCACCTGGAGCCCCTCCATCCTCAGGCCCTGAGTCCATTCAAGTCTTCCTGGCCGAGGGCGCAAGGAGGGTGGGGGTTTCCTTGGGAGGCTATCTTTTTGAGGCTCTTTATTTCTGCTGTTTCTCCTCTCTGTCTCTCCCTCTCTCTCCTCTTCCCCTGGCACTTATTTCTAACATCCATGGACCAGGCCTACTGGTTGCCATGGAGACGCAGTGTGCAGCTGGATGGTGAGTGTGTGAGAGGAGCTGTGTGCGCTCTGTAGCTCGGGTGGCTGTGTGAAACGTATCGATGTGCAAGGAAGCATTCTTCAGGGTCTCCCTGAAGTGAGACCCAAGCTAAGGAGAGACTCCACAAGGGCCCATTGACCCGAAACCCCTTGGTCATATTCATCTGGGACATATCCTGTCCCTCAGCCCCTGCAGGTCAGATACTAAATTCAGCTCAGTTCAGGCTCTGGATGGGCAGATTGTGGAGGGCCCCAAGCTGCCCCTCCTGTTCGAGAGCATTGGGAACCCCAGTAAAGGAACAGGCGTGGGCAGAGACCTATACTGTACGGGAACAACTGGAATGAAGATTAAGCTGTGCAGACGGGCCGACTGGTAAGAGGCCAGCAGCCCCAACACCACTCTAGGGGATGGGTGTGGGGAGGTTGGTCTAACAAGCCAGAAATTCCCCTTGTTTCTATTTACTTGACCCAGTCTTTATCCAGAAGGTTGGGAGAAGTGAGAGACCTGGGTTGCTGCCCTCAGGAAGCTTAGCATCTTAGAGGAATCAGGCTAATTTCTTTATGGGCTCACATCTCAGGGCCTTGGCAGCTGTAGCTTCCTGTACCTGGAATTCTCTGTTCTGAGCTCTAACTCTTGAGGTTTCCTTAGAGAAGCTTCGCAGGCCACACTGAATAAGGCAGCCCCTGCCTCTCCCCCACCTCCACTTATCCTCCTTCATGCCCCACTGTTTGTTTCCTTCACAGCACTTTAAACACAATCTATAATTATCTCATTTGTTTGTTTATTGTCTGTCTTCTCCACCGGGAACGTAAGTCCCAAGAGATTGTAGGGACCATGACTGTCTAATTCAGTGTTGTAATACCAACACCTGCCCAGGGCCTGACACACCGTAGGTGTAAAACATGTGTTAAACAATGGGCAAATTATTTCATTGAAGCCCCACAATAATCCTCCATGACGGTAAGCATTATTCTCCCCATTTTACAGATGAAGAAACCAAGGCTCAGTTACATGTCCAAGGTCATATCACTAGGAAGTGGTGCAGCCAGATTTCTAATGTAGGTCTCTGGCTCCAGGTGTAATGGAAGGAGGAGGGGACTGTCTTTCCTAATTTACACTGCACCTGGTCCCTCTTCCTGTCTGACCCTGGGTGTGTCTCCACTCCCAACCCAGGCATCCCAGAGAAACCTAGGCAAAGGAGGTAGAAGGACAATTAGAATCTGTTACGAATGTAAATCTGACCTTTTCTTTCAGAGGCTTAGCATCCCACAATGGCTCCCTCCTGTCTTCCTTAGGTTGACCAGCAGGCCCTTCTAGTTCTGGCCCCTACCCTCCTTTCCAACTCCTCTTGTCCATTTGAACTACCTCACTGTCTTCTCCTCCACCGACAGGCCCTTGCACACACTACTCCCTCAGCCTACAACACTGACCCCTTTCTCAGTGGACTGTTCCTCATCTGCCCTTTGAAACTCAGCTCTGGCACCACCCCTTCCAGGAAGCCTTCTGGACTACTTTGGCTCTCCAGCCTGAGTCTACAGCTAGGGGCAGGGTTGAACACATGATGTGGTGGTCATTGTTTACCTGCCAGCCTTTCTCAGAGACCTTGTGTCACTCTTGGAGTGTCCCAAGAATGGGCTGGCACAAGGGAGGGGCTAAGGAAATGAGTGAACCAACCTGGGGCAGGATTCTAGTACCCACGTCCCTTGACCCCTGACATCTTTTCCCGGGCTTGGCCTTAACAGAAGCTCCTCATCCCCCACTGTCTGGCCAAGACAGGGGTGGGGATGAGGTAGGGCCCTCCCGCTGATTCACTGCCTCCTTGGATCTGGAGGTGAGGCCTCTAGGTTAGGGGCCAGTCACCCTGGCCGTGGTACGGGGATGGTTAGTGAGGGGCACAGGGTTGCACACTGAGCCAGGGAGCTGACCCGATCTTGTGGATTCAGACTGCCAGGGGGTCCTTTGCTCTTCTTTTTCCTCTCCCTACCTCCTAGCCCCAACGCCAGGCTCCGGGACCGCCTGATCCAGCCCCGATCTTGGCTGTGTCTTCTTCATTCCCACCCCCATCCCATCCCCCACAGCATCTTGGAAGGTAGAGAGGGGACCTGCGGTGGGCGCCAGGCCCTGCGAAGCCTTGCGAATGGGAATGAAGGGGCGCCCGCGACCCCAGCTGTACCCGCGCTCGATCTGGGTTTACACGGAAGCTCATCCAGGATTAGTCCCTGCACTCGGCTAATCCCTGCGGCAGAACCGACCTCGGGGTCCGGGAGCCTGGCCCATACTGCGCGGGTGGGAGAAAAGGCGCGCGGGCCAAGCGGAAGCGCACTGCACGCGGGTGGGAGGGGCGCCCGGGAGGTGGGGCCAGGAAACCGGCCGATCCGGTCTCTGTTATTCGGCCTCTCCTGAGCCGGTGTTTACCCGGGAGCCGGACGGAGAAGGCTGGGGCAGCTTGGGCACGGAAGCGGGGGGCTGGGATGGCAGTCGTAGATTGGAACTGAAACCTTTTCGGGTCTCCAGATCGACTTCCAACCTTCATGCTTGAGCGTGGGGAGGGAGCGCCAGACAGACAGATGTCTCCCGCCCCTTCTCCCATCCAGCCCCGCAATGCGTACTCGCTGCCAAAAGGGGCTAGCTGGAATGGATACATGCCCCGTGGAAGAAGGCAGCATGGTGTAACTCCCCAGCGCCGCGCCGCGCCTCGCCTCACCCCGCCCCTGCCATCTCTAGCTTGCACCTTGGCTCCTGGTGGGGATGAGGTGCTTGGAGAGGGGTGGGCCTAGCGGACTGGCTTGGGGTAACTTGGAGGTGCACGGAGCAAATACCTGTCCTCAGCCTGCGTCCTCTTGCCCCCATCCCTGCTTGGCACCGATTAATCCCGGTGTGGGCTGGGTCCCTCATCCCGAGCGCGTCCCCTGACCCCCTCCAAGGTCTCTTACTCCTGCAGATTTAGCCCCCAATCTCCCCGGGACGCAGGCCGAGGGCCCTGAAAAAGCGAAGTGGGGTCCGGTTTTCACACTTTTATTGTAAAGCTCGGGAATAATTACACGGGTCTT